GGTACTGTCGTACTATCAACACGTCATTTCCATACACATCAATCAATTTCATTTTGACTCACAAACTTACAGTATTTTTACCTTTTATATAGCAAAAGAGTAAAATATGTCGAAATTGCTCCTTAATGCCTTCCGCATTCAAAGTGGCACCCTCCAAAAACTACTGCGTATAATTGATTAGAATTTACTTACACACAGACCTTAAAATATAAACTTTCAAAACATATTATAATTATACGGCTTAAGTGTGATGTTACGTTTAAAAAAGATAGTTAAACCTTCTGTGGAAAAAAAAACAAAGTAACTTTCCGAACAACCTTATAAATCAAATTTAGTTCCCTGCCCATCGCAGAATTTAGTACTACTTACGCGTTAGGGCTAATTTAGCATTATAAGACTTCATCAAACCTTCCCGAAGGTTTTCTCATCGAGTTTAACTAAGCGTTTTTAGTTAAATCAAAATTAATAATCTTCACAATAATATATACAAATGCTTTGGAAGCACCGGCTTCCTTGTATATTACAAAAATCTTCGATCATCAATCAGAATACTACAAAACTTTAGAAAGTTCTTTTTGTCTGTTGTTTACCTACAAATTACATAACAATTCCATAATCGCTCTGTTCCAATATAAAAATTTGATATACGCTGTTGATGGCAACGATGTTTGAAATTTCGTTTATAAAACAGCTAAGAAGCGCAAATGATTTGCAAAAATGTTGAACATTTATAAAAAAATCAAATTATAAAAAAATCAATATTTTCATAATAGTTTTTTTTTCAAACATTCAAAAATATTAGATATTTCTTTAAGTTTTAAGGCACGTTACCATGCATCACTAGTTTTTATGTAACAAGATTTTCAAGTAACTTTTTAAATTCACATAGATTTCTCCATCGTCTCCATCAAACCAATAGCCGGACTATCCCACCTGTGCTCGTTCGGTAAGAAGTCAGCGTGTAAATCGGTTATCACATATTCCTTGCGGGATATCCTGGAGATTTTCGGGATTTGTAGCCGCAGGAGAATGTCCGGCCATAATGCACACACATGGGAAGTCTGTGGCAGTCTGTGGCAGTATGGAAACGGTAAAAATCCAAAGGATGCAATATCGCCAACACATAGAACACTTTGTGCATTAGCAAAGCACACGTTGAGGTATATAAGAATTATCGTGATCAGTTTAAATGTTGAGCTAGAACGAGTTGTGTTTTGTGGAGAGCAATTGGAATGCTGAGAAATTAATCTAATAGGTACTGGGTACGGTTGTGCCAGGGTACGGTAATGACAGTCGTCATAACAACTAATTGTAAGCTATACTGATTTTGAGATAGAGTCTAAAAAGAGAAAGGTGATGTACGTTGGTTCTAACAAGTTTCCATTATTGCTTTGAGTCACTCTACATTAACACGATCTTTACATTGTATTGGTTTTAAATAGTAAAAAGTAAGTTTTTTCGTTCGATTTCTTCTAATAATACTCGTTACTTGTATACAGACTCACTTTGAATGTTATTCAATACAAGATAAAAGTTTTCACAAAATTTTCTTATTTGAAAATTATGGTTTGTTGTGTGATGTTATATTATATTCTTGAGCTTTGTATAAATTATTATGTTGTTTTTAATCTCCTTTTGTGTTTCAATCTCTTGTGGACGGTTGTGACACTCGCCCTTTTCTGGTATACTCTGATTTAATGACAAATTCATCGTATTTAATGACAGTGTTTGAGTATTTCCACGTAAGCAAATATTCAAATTACCCAGCTAAGTAGTTCATTTTATTTCAGTTAACTCTTAGATTAACAAAACTATCGCTGATAAATAGAAAAGTGGCACAACCGTACCCAGTTTTCCTTACTTAGACAATATGTACATGCAATTAAACAAAAATTGATCTATGTATTAGGTGAAAAGAAAAACTTTTGAACGTTTAGAATATTTAAATATTATATCTACCAAATATTACATAAATCTTTACCCCGCATATGGTATTAAAATCTTAAGTACTATTTATAAAATATTTCCCCAGAGAAAATATTCCATTACTTAACTTTACAACCCAACTTTTCCAATACGATACTTCAATAACTCAAATAAAATTGATTTATGGTTTTGTATCTAAAATTAAAACGATTCGTGTTTGCTCAATCTTAAAATCCATCTGCTAACAAAAAATAAATTGAACTTTTTATTGATAAATACAGAATCGAATGAAAGTTAAGTACTTGTATTTACAACGAGAACTCGGCCTTAAAAATATGCGTTTTAATATTTTGTGTTTGGTTTGTATAATTTAATTTTTTTCTTGTGGGTTAAAACCCAGGATTTTGATGGCGCGAAATAACTTTTTTCATGATGTTTGATCTGGTATTTGTTCGAAGTCTGTGACAAAATCAAATCAAATGTCATTTTATGATGTATTATAATAGAATTGAATTGGCCGCAGAGAACAATTTAATTATTGAGTAGAAATGTAGGTGCGTATATAATTTTATTCGGGGCCTATTTTTAGGCAGGATTATAATTCAATAATTTATAAAATTGTTGTGTAAGACGTTTCTTCGTATTATATATGACAGCATCAGAATGGATGGTGGTCAAAAATAGATTCTCGGACTCTCCAACTCATCCTCTGTAAAATTTAAAGCACTTTCCTATTGAAAACTCAATTAACTAATTAAGTATGTAAATTTATTATCAACGATTAATATGGGCTTTTATCATTCATAGTTCAAAAGATCAAGTTTTGCTACAAATTGTTTCTATAAAAGTAGGACATTCCTGAATCTTGATTTTTTCCTAAATTTTCTTTATTTCCTATCAGATTCAAAATTCAAAGATTTCAATGTCAAAACACCTGAACGTGCAAATTTTACAAATGTTTCAGAGTGAATTCTCAATATCTCTCGGGAGTTATTCTTCTTCTTGCTCCACTCATTTCTGTCATTTCGAGTTCTCTCGGTTAAAGCTATTTCTTCTGGCAGGCGCGTTCTTTTCCCGTCAGAAGTAGTATTCCGGTTTGTTTTTTTTTCATTTCATTTTCTTCGTTTTTTGACTTTTTCCGCCTTATCGACGATTTGTGCATCGGAGATTCGAATTTCCCGCGCATCGACGTAATGACAGCAGAGCACATAATGCACGTAGCGAACGGGACCGTAACTAATATTAGTGCTGTCCAATGAAATAAAGAGATTTTGGAGAAAATTATGGCTAATTATTTTTAAATTGTATATTATTTTAAAAAATATAATATTAACTACCCGTGGTGTGAGTTATAGTATTTGCAAAAAAAAAATGGAAATGAAAATTTTACATATTTTTACATTTTAAGGCTTTCTGAATATTTTGGCATACCTTGGAAAAAAATGGATATATGTGTGGTGTGTATGTGTGCATCCATGTTTTGTCCACGTTTTTGGGATCCTTGCTCAACCGATTCAAATGATTCAAAAAACATTCGATTTCTGTTGACATAGAATGCAAAAATAGAAATTTGAAAAATGGGAGAAAGAAGCATCCGATTCGAATTATTCAAACGACATTTCTTTGGAAATACAAAATTAATTACATTTTCCATTTTAAAGGCGGGTCGTGCGATTTGCAGGTAAAACTGTTAAAAAAATGACATTTGTTGGTCTAAAATTATTATTACAAATTATTCTTATTATGATTCATATACATGTAGAACTATTGATACACAGATAACAGGTAGATAAATCGAGGGAAAATTGAAAAACAGGTAAACAGGTGGACAGGTGGGCAAAATAATAATTTGACAGGTAGGCAAGTGGACAGATAGGTAAATAGACAAATTAACAGATTGACAAGTAGAAAGGTAGACAAGTGGACAAATAGGTAGATAGAAAGGTTGAGAGATTGACAAGTAGACAAATAAGTAAATAGACAGGTTGACATATTGACAAGTAGACAGATGGACAAGTAGACAAGTAGACACGTGGACAAATATGTAGATAGGCAGGTTGACAGATTGACAAGTAGACAGGTAGACAAGTGGACAAATATGTAGATAGACAGGTTGTCATATTGACTGGTAAACATATAGATGTGTAGGAATGTAGGAAAGTAGACAAGTAAACAGGCCGATTGGTATATTAGTAATTCAGGTAAATAGGTAAACATGTATATAGATAAACAGGTAAACAGACAGACAGAAAAAAAAGTAGCAAAAATTTGAACCGACTTTGAAAATTTGGAAACCGTGAAATTGTGTCTTTCATGCTAATTAGTATTTGATGAAAATCGGCGAGGCCGATTTTGAAGATTTTTATTGAGTTATATTGATCATGGTTTTAACAAAAATTCTGAAGTGTTATAAGTCTACAAAACTTATTTATCAAAAATTAGAAAAGTGGTCAAAATGTTAATTTTTTCTCGATGCAATTTTGTAGACAATGCAAATTTTGTAGGCAATGTAAAAGCTCAATTTTTATATTATTATATTTACACATCTTGGGAAGTGCAACTTGACTAAGGAGAAAATGTAGTTTTTCATTTCAAATTTTATTTAAATTGAGTACTTTTTATACTTATGCTTTATAACTTTATAGGAGAATATGAGTTCTTTCAATTCTCACCTAAATACTATTTTTTCAATAATATATACCCTGTAAAATCTTATATTTTAAAACAGATTACGCGCGGTTCTATACATGTAATTGGGTCTTGAGTATTTTGTTAACTTTTCGAGGGGGAAGTTTATGTTTTCATAAAAAAAAATCGGTTTGCCAAATTTATGTGTTTCCGACGTTTCAAGCCATTCTGAATCGAATGAGATCAAATTTGGAAGAAGTATGTGTGTGTATGTTGGTTGGTCAAGCAAGGAGTACAATCTGTGCAAAATTATATTTGCTTTTTTTTATGTGCAGATTGGAAATGGTCGCGGTTCTTATAAATTATAACCCTGTCAACTCGATTAACTTTCTGCACCTCATCGATCTTCTTTCCTTAATTATACTACATCGTAAATTTCCCTTCAGACAGCACTATATTGCATCCGTATACGAGAAGATAGCGGAAATCAAATGGCGCGTGATTTGAATACACTGTCCGAGTTGCATCATTTCGAGAGAGACTTTGATAAGGCTACCGCTATGCGTCTAGAATACATTGCTCGGAATAATATAATGCATTTACGTAAATAATAAGCAATTCTGGAAATATGTTCGCATAACGACATGGGAATTTCGAATAAGACGACGACTTGATAGTATAAAATCGCTCGTACTTCATTTGGCATTCACTTGACGATTGGGTTGGACTAGTTTGAAATACGAATAAGGACATCTTGTTGGAAACTTGGATAATTATCAAGAACCAAGATCAGTTCAATAACTTGCACACGATCGTGGATAAATTTTTGTTCAAATTAAACCCTGTACAACTATGTATGATACGAAATCAAAAATATTTGCTACATCCACATCTTCTTTCTCAGAGTCTATATCAGTATTATATCCGAAACAAACGACCCGCATTATTATCTTTTTGTTTTCTCTCGTATATTTCCTCAAACGAATGAGTACCGAGCCAGATGGGAAGAGATTAGTGCGCTGTATTAGATTCGGAATCTTTTGTTCAATCAAAATTCCAAGAACATCACAAGAATTTCCGCAATTGATTAATCTGTTGCGAAAAACATGGCCCGAACATGCCCACGCATATTGACATAGTCACATACATATGTTTTATATGAGGGTAATAAGGAGGAGATTTGGACGAGTGGAGGAAAACTGAATTTTGTGTTTTGTAGGGTCGTATTTGGAATTATCAATGGAAATGATTAAAAATGAAGAACTATGACAAATATAGTTGAAAATGAAATTAATGACATAAATTAAATTACCTTACAAAAACTTAAATTTAATTGAAGACAATCTGTTAATTGAAGGTAGAGCAAATGAGCTCCAAGTTAGATTAAGTATGCCATGATTTTATATACAAAAACAAACTAGTGTATAAAAAATATCGATGTCTAATAAAATCATCATTGAATTACAAAGTGTTGAATTTTAATTAAAAACACTTAAATATTTATGGAAGGTTATCCACCCCTAGCATTTTTTAAACGTTTTGGACCAATTTTCTTTGTTTTAAGTTTTTATTGTGAATCAAATTGTATTGAATTTACTATAATGATTAAAAACGAGAATTTTAAAATCTGGAGATACAACCGTCTTTGAGAAGGAACTGGGTATACTATTAACCTATCGCAAAGCGGTAAACCTTTCTACAAAATTTTATAAAAACTCACTCGATTCGTTAAGCATGATAAATCAAAAGATAATTGAAAAATGAGTTTTCGGATTATGCTTTTAGTTTAGACATTTGGTCGTATTGCCGGTACAGTACTCCGGGAATTCTGAAAATTGGTAATCTTATAGATTTTTAGGTGCTCTTTACGAATGTTGCAAAAATGGCGTCAAAAACAGCTTTTTTTAAAATAGCTCCTTTCCGGCTCATTATACGATAAAAGTAGCTATGAACGAATTAAACTAGATAAAATTTCCTATAATTCTTTCGAACACTGTTACTTTGTAAAATTAATAGTTTGGGAGTACGGCCGCCTCAAACTCTTTGCTGCTCTCGCCGCCATATTGAATCTAACTATATTTGATTGCTCTTTGAACTTGGCCACATTCTCTCTAATTAATGAATATTTTTAATGGTAAATTAAGCAAATAAGATCTAGAAAATAATTCAAATATTTTATTGTTTTTTTTGCTGATAATTGAACATTTCAATAGCTATATACAAATTAAACTAGAGAAAACTTTAATTTATTCAATATCTTGTTTTGTTAAACCAACAAACATACTAAATATCAAAAAAATTCTTATAAGCTTGTTATACTGAAAACTTATATTGTAAAACTATTTATAAATTAATGAAAAATAACAAATAAAAATTGAACATAAAATAAATAAATTTGTAATTCAAAAAAGAATGAATGAATTAAAAACGCGTTGATGATATCTTAGAACTTGAATATTCATAAGGGGCAATTTAAATTAAATAAAATCAGTTTCAGAATTAATATGTTTCATAAACATTTGCGTTGCAATAGGTAAACTTTTCATATAATTTTTGTTAGCTGTCTTACTCAGTCATGTACCACACACTTCCACATTCACAATCAGTTATATTTTATACTAGCATATATATATATATATATATATATATATATATTTATGTATGTACATATATATCGATGCACATCGCCATAAATCTAAATATACACGAGTCGTGGCTCTCGGCACAAAGGGCTTTGGCCGTTATCCCTATTTAATGAATATTAATACTGCTTATAATAAATACTCATTATAACCTTCCAATAAACGCAAAGCCTTCCATTGTCATTTGAGAAACTCGTGATTATGCAAAAGTACTCCTTCGATATTGAACGATATTGTTTCGTGCAAATTTTACGACCCGTTTTGTATTGATCTATATGCGGCTACGTAATATTGAAAATAACCTTAGATGAATGAAATAGACTTATGGAAAATTTTCCTTATCTTTATTGAGGAATTATTATTGTTAACGGTATTAATTAATATAGTATTCAAATTTATGAATGGATGTAGTAAATTTGATTTGGGAGATCGAGATATTTTTAAACTTGTATCAACGTGATTTTTTAGTAAATAAAAGATGAATTTAAACATAGACATAAAAATTACAACCTGATGAAAATTAATTTTGAATAGTAATGTTATATTCATGTTTGGTCTTAAATAAGAGACGATAAACTAAGAAACTCATGATCTCTATTTTGAAAGTAATAAAATTAAAGAGTAACTAGCTGTAAGTGGAATTCTGTCTTAAGGCAATTAGGGCATCGTGCCTTGGCAAATTGCTGGAACTTCCCGTAACAAAAATTATTATTATTTTTTTAAAACGATTAACATTTTTGAAAAAAAATTACTTTGAAAAAATAAGATTTTTGAGAAACTATAAATTGGACAAAAAATTAGTCTTTTTTGAAAAAAAAAAATTTTAAAAAAAAAAATTTTTTTTTAAAAAAAATTTTTTTTTTTTTGAAAAAAATTTTTTTTTTCTTTATTTTGACATATTGTGGAAGATCTGAACTTTTTTTCAAAGCAATCGTACTGCTTTAACTACATAGGGACAAAATATAAAGCGCGTAAGCGCCGCGTCGCTGTCTAACGCATAAGCATTGGTACGGAACCGATAGGAATGTTAACAAAATGTATACTTATTGTTAAAATCTCTATAAAATGTCTGATAATTTGATGTGCATATGTCTAATGATCATTTTTGACCGTCAAATGGCTCATTTTTTTACTTTTTCCTCTATATCTCCGAAACCGCTGGACCTACCTTCATGAAAGTTGTATCGATTCTTCATCTTGTCAATACAAATAAAATGTTTTTTGAATTATTAAAATCGGACGCTCCGTTCTCTTAAAAACTGAGTTACCGTTTTCGGAACTTTTTGCCCCGTATCTTCGGAACGGCTTGACCTGCCTTTGCCAAAAACTAATCAGCACGTCTCCTTATCAATACGGATCGAATGTTTTTTGAATTATTCAAATTGGTTGATCCGTGTACCCGAAATCGTCGACGAAAATTTGTATCCGCACATACATACACACACATACATACATACACACACACATACACACACACATACACACACACATACACACACACACACACACACACACACACACACATACATCCATTTTTTCTAAGGTATGCCAAAATGTTCAGAAACCTCTGAAACGTAAAGATATATAAAAATTTTCATTTTCGATTTTTTTGCGATTACTATAACTTACCCTACGGGAAGTTAATAATTCTGAATTAAAGGAATTACAAAGATTATTAAAAAAACAGATCAAACAAAATTATGAATTGAGATCGCCTTAAGTGTAATTTTTAAAAAATTGAGCATTTTTAGATTCGAGAAATGAACTGCAGACTCCAAAGAGATTTTTCTCAAGGAGCAAGTACAATAAACAGAAATTAGAAGTTAAATTAAAATAAGATCGGAACAAAAAATATAGAACTTTTAAATAAACACCATTCTGTAGGAAATGGCGCAGTTGTCTAGTCGACCACCCTTATTGTTCTTCGTGCAAGTTGAAGCCGTCTTTGCTCATTAGTGAGAGGGCTGAAAAGATCATTTTTTCTTTTTTTTTAATTTAAATGTTAATTTAGTAAAAACAATATTTTCTAACTTTCCGGAGATGACAAAATTCTTCGAGACAAAATACGATTAGATAGTTTTATATTTTTTCGACGTTTCAAGTCTTTCTGAATCAAATAAAATCAAATTTTCATAAGAATGTGTGTGTGTGTATGTGAGCCGATTTTTTTATTTTGTTGAAACCATTCGATATTATCAGAACTAACGTTTAACAGTTTTTGGTCGGCCAAGCCGTTTTTTTGTAATTAACAGAAAATAGAAAAAAAAAATCTACAATTTAGCATACAATTCGGAAGATATTATATTGGTAATCGTGCTAAATAGCTTGGAATAGATTGGAAATATGTCACAACAAATAACACATATCAAACAAGCAACTATCTGACTAATGTTCAGTATAACACCCATCTAATTCATAAATTTAAAAGAGTGTTTTTTTACAGTTTTTCAAATATTTGTCATTTGGTTCTTTTTACTCCTTTAGTCAGGGACGATCAGAGGGCAAATAGGACCAATTACTTATTTTTAATTTTAAAATTTATATGCAAAATATTACCTAGATTATTCAACCAGTTTTTGGTCGACCAAGCCGTTTTTTTTTGTAATTAACAGAAAAAAGAATAAAAAAGTCCACAATTTAGCATACAATTCGGAAGATATTAGATTGGTAATCGTGCTAAATAGCTTGGAATAGATTGGAAATATATCACAATAAATAACGCATATCAAACAAACAACTATCTGACTATGTTCAGTAAAACACCCATCTAATTCATCATTGTAGAAATGTGTTTTTTCAAAAATTTGTCATCTATTAATTTTTACCCCATAAAGAGTTACGACCAGGACCAGGAGCAAACAGATCTTATTCTTATTTTTAATTTTGAAGATATTTTACTAAATATTACCTATATTATTCAACCAATGCATAATATAAATTTTATTGGTAAATTTTTTATAG